AATTATGTAGGATCTTTCCATCTTGATGGCTAAATTCCTATTCTACATTATATTGGTTGCATCATAGCTTCACATACTACAGCCTTTTTACATCTTCTCCTCTTCCTACCTCACTACATTTATAGTAGCCTCTTTTTCCTCTCTTACAGTGCTCTATCATAGTCCTAAGTTTTCGTAGTTTTTCATTCATACTACCTTTTCTATCAATTATATCTTTTTTTTTTTGGAGGGGGGAGGAAGGGAGGGAAGAAGGACGGTAGGGAGGAAGGAAGGGATGAAGGAAGGAAGGAAGGAAGGGAGAAAGTGGGGAGGGAGGGAGGGAGGGAAGGGAGGAAGGAAATCAAGCAATGAGAGAGACATTGCCGACCTGAATCTAGAGGTTTACAAGTTGATTTTTTTTTGAGAGAAGGAAAGGAAAAAAAAAAAAAAAAAAAGTAAAGGAGAGGAAGAAAGAGGAAGAGAAAGAGGGAGAGTAAATGGAAATATTGCTTTATTTTGAAAAAACTTGGGTATTAATAATGGCCAATCAATGTTTCATTTAAACTAATGGGTAGGTGTGATGTGGTATTGACAAGAATGTATATTTTGTGTATTTGAAGTGGAGAGCTCTATAAATATTTATTAAGTTTACTTGTTCCGGATCTGAGTTCGAGTCCTTGATATCCTTATTAATTTTCTGTCTCATTGAATCTAAGTCTCGTATCTGGGTGTTAGGATTGTTAGCTCTTGTTGTTGCATTGATCCTTTTACCACTATATCTTTGTTGCTTTAAAATCTATTTTATCCGATACGAGAATTGTAACTCCTGCTTTTTGTTTATTTATTATTTATTTTTGCTCTCCATTTGGTTGGTAAATCTTTCTCCATCCCTTTGAGTCTTTGTGTATCCTTGCATGTGAAACAGGTCTGGATGTAACATGCCATTGGATTTTGGCTGTGTCTTTTGATTGGGGGATTTAGTCAATTTATATTTAGGGTTACTGCCATTTGATGTTGACCGGCTGTTTTATCCATTCGTTGGTGTAAATTCTTCTTTATGTTGATGCTCTTTACTTTTTGGTATATTTTTAGAAAGGCTAATACTGGTTGTTTCTTTCTGTGTGTAATGCTTCTTTCAGAAGCTCTTGTAAAGCAGGCCTGGTGGTAATAAAATCTCTGAGTACTTGCTTGTTCATAAAAGATTTTATTTTTCCTTCAGTTGTGAAGCTTAGTTTGGCTGGATATGAAATTCTGGGCTGAAGGTTCTGTTCTTTGAGGATGTTGAATATTGGCCCCCACTCTCTTCTGGCTTGTAGAGTTTCTGCTGAGAGATCTGCTGTCAAGTCTGATAGGCTTGCCTTTGTGGGTAACCTGACCTTTCTCTCTGGCTGCCCTTAGTATTTTCTCCTTTGTTTCAACCCTGGTGAATCTAACGATTATGTGCCTTGGGGTTGCTCTTCTTGAGGAATATCTTTGTGGTGTTCTCTGTATTACCTGGGGTTGAATGTTGACCTGCTTTGCTAGTTGTGGAAAATTTTCCTGAATAATATCCTGAAGGGTATTTTCCAGCTTGGATTCATTCTCTCTGTCGCATTCAGGTACACCTATCAAACGTAAATTTGGTCTTTTCACATAGTCCCACATTTCTTGGAGACTTTGCTCATTCCTTTTTATCCTTTTTTCTCTAATCTTTTCTTCGCATTTTATTTCATTAAGTTGGACTTTGACCTCTGTTATCCCTTCTTCTGCTTGAACAATTCCAGTGTTTAAACCTGTGCATACTTCTTGGAGTTCCTGTATTGTATTCTTCAGTTCCATTATTTCACTCATACTCCTCTCTAAGTTGTCTATTCTCAATAGGATTTCATCAAACTTTTTTTCAAAGTTCCTAGTTTCTTTACGTTGGGCTACAACACGTTCTTTTAACTCACCGAAGTTTGTTATTAACCATTCCTTGAAGAGTGATTCTGTCATCAGGATGCGCTCGTTCTCCATCAAGCCTTGTTCCATTGTTGATGTGGAACTGTGATCATCTTTAGAGGGAGAGGCGTTCTGACTTTGAGTATTCTCAGCTTTTTTACGCTGGTTTCTTCCCGTCATTGTAAATTTATCCTCCTGTCATCTTTGAATTTACCCACTTTCAGATTAGGTCTCTTGAGTGGACTTCCAGGTTGTTAGTTCCCAGGGCCAGAGCAGCAGCGTTAAAATGGATGGTGCTTTTCTGCCCAGGATTCTCCTGTCTGGCTTCCTTCTTCTGTCTGTAGTAGGTGACTCTGCCTCCCGGGGCTCCAAACCTCGGTCAGAAGGGGAACCGGTCCCGTTTACTCTGCGCTGAGCGCTGCCTCGCCGAGGTGCCGTCACTGCCGCTGCGCCGGGCTCTGGTGTTGTGTTGGGGGCCCGTGTGGGTCCTCGGAACCTGTTTACTCTGCTCCGAGAGCTGCCGCGCCGAGGTGCCGGAGGAACCGCTGCGCTGGCCACGAGAGTCACACTGGCCACCCGTGTGTTTCCTCCACTGGGGGATCTTCTGCTCCGTGAGCGACCAGAATTTGTCTGAAAGTGTGGTGTCCTTTAGTTCTCCGCGCCTTCCCTGAGAGCTGCAATCCCTGGATGTTAGCGATTGGCCATCTTGGATCGTTCCCCCTCAATTATATCTTAAGGTTATTCTCTAAGAATGTGGGAGTAAATTTCAGATTGCTTACATTTCCATGAACATGTTTATTTCAAACTTAATTATTTGTCTCAATATCCAATTCCAAATAGAAAATATTCTGAAGGAATTCTTCTGTTTGCTGTCATCTAGTGTTGGTATTGAGCAATCCAGTCCCAATCTAATTGCTTGCCCTTGTTGAGGAAAATTTTTCTCTGAAAACTTTAGGATCTCCTTTTTATCCATAGTGTTCTGCTATATAACAGTATTTCTCTAGATTGTTCTTTTCTCATTCCTCTTATTCAGAACTGGGAAATGATTTTAATTTGAAGATTTAAAATCCTTTGTTTCCAGAAATATGATTTTCTCTGTTTTGTCTCTCTTCTATTTTTGGGACACCTGTTTGAAAAAGGACTTACTGGATTATATCTCTAGGTCCTTCTCCTTCCCTCATATATTCCACCTATGTCCTTTTTGTTCTGTGAATTTTGTGTGACTCTGTCTTCTAATGTTGGTGTTTTATTTGCGTAGTCATATTTGAAATGTATATAAGTGCTCTCTCTTTTACTTTCTTTGTTCCTTTTTTATATGATGCTGTTTTTCTTTTCGTCTTCTGTGAATACTACTGAAAAAGGCAGTGTTTATGTTCTCCCTAGGTTTGTCAAGAATACGAAGGCCCGATTAGACCTGGGTAGATTCTCAGGGTGGTGTGTGCAGTGACAAGCATTAAAGAGTAAGATGTCTCCCACTGAACAAAGCATCATCTTATTATCACTTACCATAAAAACAGTAATTCCCTTAAACCTAGTGTTTCTCTTCTGTAACACAGTCACCTGTTACGTACGGGAGTCTATGAAGAACCCTTTCTGTTACCCTGTGAGACTTGGGGCATAGGGAACTGATGCAAACGAAAATGAAGTAATAGGGTCCCTTTTCTCTGACCAAGGAAACAGTAAGTAACAGGCTAGCTTGTTAGCTTATATTATATGTATGGTAAAAGCTCAGACCTTGCACAAATACTGTATTCTTGACAAATAGAATATCTTTTCTGACTTTTTCTAAGAATGTTAGTTACAATTACATTTTCTTTTTAAATTTTTTATTGTTCTTTTAGCATCTGTTTGTTTTGGGAAGTTTTTAAGAAATCACATTAGATTCTCCTCAAATATAAGTCTTTTTTTTTTTGGTGAAGGCTAACATTGGGACTGGTTGGGGAGGGGACAGAAGTTTGGTCTACTATTGAATATTAGAAGTTTAATTGTGACATCTATTTTTAGCTTCATTTTTTTTAATCTCCAGACTCTGCTGCTACTGTAGATAATATTTTTCTAGATTCTTATTGCACTGTAATCTCCTTTGAGAGTCTTAACTTCCTCCATCAAAACTTTTCACCATTTTTCAGATATTTGTGGAAATCATTCTTTCTGCTGCTGACTCTACCCAAGTCCTTTTGTTATTGTTAGATTGTACCTTTTTATTTCTTTATTTTCATTTTGGGAACAGGGAAGAGATAAACTCCAGAGAATAGTCAACCGTATAGAAGAAGCAATTTTATTTTTTAAAAGTGTCTTAGCAATAACTTGTTGCTTCTTATTTCTGTTACTGTACTTAACATCCTCCTATAAATGCCATTTTTCTGTTTCTGCTCTCTTCCTACATCTAAATATAAAGTTTTATCATCTGGAAAATTAGCAAAATATCTAATAAAAATGTGTTCAAAGAAGAAGAAATGTCTTAGAGAAGGATTTGTTGGTGGCATATGGTTTAGCTATGAAGAGAAACCTCTGCTTATTTTGGTTTGAACGTAAATGTATTTTTAGATAAATGGAATGATATATAAAGTGCAGTATAACTGTATTTACAATTTTAAAACTTCTTGTGAATTTTGTTTTTCTGTTAAGCTAAATTGCAAATATTCTTAAAAATTGGTCTTTGCATTTTACTAAACATTATTGGAAGATTGAATTTATGTGTATAGGAATGCTGCAAAATGTTTTTATTCTCTAGAATAAGAGTTGGCAAAAATTTTTATTTAAAGGACTAGACTGTGATACATGTAGTTGCTGTTTTATTGTTACAATTACTCAACTTTGCCCTTATACCACAATAGCAACTGTAAGTAATATGTAAATCAGTAAATGTGACTGTGTTGCAATAAAGCTGTATTTGTGAACATCAAAATTTGAATTTTATATAATTTTCACACCAGAGAATACTTTTTTATAACCATTTAAACTATATTTTAACAAGTATATTTCACTTGTAATTTATACAGTAACTGGCCAGTGTTTGTCCTAGAGTTGTCTGTTTTACTAATTGCTTTATAGATGCCTCAATACTGATTTGTTTCACTATGTCCCCTCATTCTTATCAGGCAAGCTAATGAAGAATATCAAATACTGGCAAACTCCTGGCGCTACTCATCTGCTTTCTGTAACAAGCTCTTCTTCAGTATGGTGGACTATGATGAGGGGACGGATGTTTTTCAACAGGTAAAAGAGTTATATCTCATTCATATATTAACATACTTGTTAGTGGGCAGTACATTTTTGTTTGGCACATAAATAGAACTCACTCATCATCTGACCCTGGGAGGCAGAGGTTGCAGTGAGCCGAGATTATGCCACTGCACTCCAGTCTGGGGGACAGAGCAAGACTCTGCCACACACCCAGACACTCTAGCGCGCGCGTGCGCACACACACACACACACACACACACACACCCCCACACACACACCTAATTCATAAATAAGTTAAATACAGTAAGTAGTTATAATAAATTTTGTGAATGTGATTAATGTAATCATGGCTAAACTTATTTTTATCATTGTACACGTTTTTGCCGTTATGTTAAATCCGTTTTAACTATTGCATCATACAGAAAACGTGTTTTTTCAGCATGCAGTGGCAGTATACATGCATCGGTCTTATTTTGGTATTCAATTATAGGTAGTAGTATATTATAGGTAGTATTTTGCAAGATTTGTGACATTTTATATAAAATCTATTGCAAGTTTTAACTATTATTTTTTTCCAATGTGGCAGATACAGAGAATTTTACATATAAAGGATTAAATGTCTGTTTAAAAGTATTTTCTCTATGTTATGGACTGAATTATATCTCCCCCCAAATTCATAAGTTGAAGCCATAGCTTCCAGTGTGACTGTATTTGAAGATAGGGCCTTGAAGGAAGTAATTAAGGTTAAATCAGGTCCTAAAGGTGGAACCCTACTTCAGAAAGACTGATGGCCATAGAAGATGAAGAATCGAGAGCAGGAGTGCATGTGCATAGAGAAAAGGGCCATGTTAGAACACAGCAAGATGATTGCCACAAGCCAGAAGAGAAGCCTCATCTGAAACCAACTGTGTTGGCACCTTCATCTTGGACTTTGAGTCTTCAGAATTGTGAAAAATAAATTTCTGTTGTTTAAGCCATCTACTGTGGAATTTTCTGTTACAGCAACCCAAGCAAACAAATAAACTTATTTACTCAGTCTTCTCTAAGGAGCAAGGTATTGCACTTGAGATTGGAATGCTCATTATCGACGTTGTCATGGTTATATCCATCATCTTTGTTGACACCATATCGAGAGCTTACGTTCAGGCACTGTTGTAAGAGCTTCATATATATTATTTCATCTAGCTTCACAGTGAGAAAAATCTTGCTACTGGTTCCATTTCATAGATGAGGAAATAAAGAATGAAGAGATTATTGCTTGTCCCAGGTCACAAAGTTAATGTAATGTGTAACTAGAATTAAAACTCAACTGTCTGGCTTCCAGAGGCCTAGCCCTTGATCATGCTATTACCCTGGAGTTAATTTTTTAAAAAAATGTTTTTGCTATGCGAGTAATCCCTTTAAAATGCACAACTTATTGCAGTCCTGGGATTGATCCTTTTGTGTATCTTGGACTATTCAGTTTTTCTCACATGTGATACTCTTTGGCATAATGCTTACCAGGTCATGAAAAAAGCACATAGTTCTGTAAAGAATCTAGCCTGCTAACTGTAAATGTTCACCATTAGTGAGCATTTTTACTTACTTGCTTCCATATTATCTTTCTTGTGAGTTTCTAGATGAATAAAATAAATTCTGTTTGCCATTTTGCTCCTATAGTCCATATTGTATAGGAGCAATAAATTTAGCAAGAAAAACATACATAGTTCTTCTGTATAAGCAGCTTACAGATTAGGGAGCTAATATTAATCAAGGAAAATTACTGTACTATAAGAACCAAATATTACTTCATGTAACTTATAGATCTCTATGGAATCTCAGGATAATTGGCCTTAGAGATCATCAGATAGAAGTGCTCCTCGTTGTATACTTGCATCCTCCCTATCATATTGGCAAACAGTCTTCTAGGTCCAACAGGACTGCTAGAGCACGGTCTTGCAGCCCAAGTATTTACCATGACTAGACCTGTGAACTAAATGAAGGAAGTTAGCTGGGTTAGTTTAGTTTCATTGTATCGTTGTTATACCATTTTTGTTGATAATGTTATCTTTGTTTTGTTATGGTATCTAATATACTGAGTACATACTTAGCATATTAAACATCATATTTACTTTTAAAAATAGGCTTTCTCCCATTTTTATCAAAACAATGCCTTTCTTGGTATGTCTTTTTAAAAAATCCATAACAGAAACAGTCATATTTCACTTTTTAAACATATTTTTATTTCATAACTACTCTAAGAAACAAAATTGCCAAAACACCGTGATCTGATCCTTGGTGTCATTGTTGGGGAAGCAGTATGGTGTGGGTGGGGACTACAGCAGATTGGAGAGAGGACGTGCTTGACCTCAGTGGGAGAGGCACAGCTCAGTATCAGCTCTGTGGAAGAAATGTAGGCCACATGTCGCTAGATCTCTCTCAAGAAAAGACCTAAATACAAAATTTTATATGAAATTTCTCACTTTAAAACATTGACAGTTAATTCATATTTTAAAAAAAACTTTATGGGATATTGCTATCTTTGTGTTGAGTACTGAATGTAGGCTCCTGGTATATAATCGTATAAATAAATGGTTATATGTAATCATTAAATTCTATGCTTTAGACATAATTATTCTGAAGTTTGGTGTATAAGAGTTGAAGTCAGTTGTTTTTAATTGAAACATTTCCTGAGGTTAATTTGGATTCAGCAGGAATCCTGGTAGAGAACTGCTTTGTGTTTCCCAAAATCTAGCCCTTGGCTTAGCAACAAGAATTTTCATTTTAAAAGGCAGAAATGTGTAAAAGTTATAGCAGTTAATGAGTTTTATGAGGAATTTTAATCTACAAAAATGGAGAAGTATATGCTTTGCTTCACTTGAGAAACACTAAAAGATTTTTAATGCTTATTTTTTTCCAACTGACTATTAAATCATATTTTGTTGAAGTACTTTCTCTGAATTGATGTTTTAAAGTACCGTCAGCAGTAATGTGGTGTCTGAAGATAATATTAATAACAAGTACAGAAATTTGGTAATTTCTAGCTTGTTGAGGACTTACTGGGAAAGTAACTTCAGTTATATGTGATTCCGTAGGAATGGCTGAGGCTAGGTGTCTGATGATAGGCCAGTGCGTTAATGAACATGATGTGTTGGAAGAAGCTCTCAGCTAGGAAACAGGTCTATGTTGTACTCTGTTGTGGGTAGTCCTGGGGAATTGTGCACTTTTTGAGAAAAAAGACTTGGAATTATATGAGTTTTTAGGAATCTCTAAAGTTCTAGAATGTTAGGCCATAGTATGGATTTTCTGATGGTTTTCATGTGGGGAGTGAGGAAGATAGGGATTTTCAGCTTCATAATTTTGTATTTACATGGTTGCTTTAGATGTCTCTGTACATCGATGAAAGAAACACGCATGAACAGAGTATGGAATGGGAGAAGCACAGAGAAGAACAACCTGGTAATTGTGTGCCTTGTTTATTGAACATTACTAAATGTCCATTACATGGAAGCCCACTGCTGGGAAATGGAGGAAGATAGACTCCTGATGTACAGGGCCGTATAACACTTACTATATACATTAACAACATATTTTTATATATGTTATATATACATGCTATATGTTATGTGTGTGATGTTTATACTGTATTGCACGAGCTTGTGCTTACAATTCAGTCTTCTAATTAATTTAAAAAGTTTATGAAAAAAATATTGTAAAAGCCTTACGAAAATGGTAAAACCCCCTTCTCTACTAAAAATACAAAAATTAACCTGGCATGGTGGCACATGCCTATAATCCTAGCTACTTGGGAGACTGAGGTAGGAGAATTGCTTGAACCAGACCCTGGAGGCAGAGATTGCAGCGAGCCAAGATCATGCCACTGCACTCCAGCCTCAGCAACAGAGCAAGACTCCATCTCAAAAAAAGTAAGTTTTCACTGAATGGAGATAGAGTTCAGAAAGTATTATGATATCCTTGTTGGGAAGATTAAAATAAGATGATAATGTTAGAGTAAGTAGCTATGCAGACATGAGCAGGGTAGGAGAGGGTCCCCACTGCAGGTGACCATCATGTGATGGTCAGGTAGTGGTTGAACTTTTTCGCTAAAATAATAATTGATTGCAGCTGCAGGGAAAGACAGTCTTCCAGTAGGTAGGAAACACCTGCAGATGGTAATCGGCTGCTTCCTAATAAGATCTTAGGACTTAAGGGTGTAGGCTCAAGCATGCGCTCTAAGAGACAAAATGGCGGAGTTTATCTGTTAAATAACCTTTCTCTGGATACCTTTTCAGGTATTTGTTACAGCATCACCTGGTGTCTCTGAGACTGCTGTTTGTCTTAGTTCATTTTGGGCTGCCATAACAATATCTGAGGCTGGATAATTATAATGAACAGAAATTTATTTCCCACAGCATTAGAGGCTGGAAGTCTAGTATTTGTCTGCCAACATCTTGTGAGGCACTTGCTGCTGCATCACATGGCAGGCGGTGACAGTGTGCAAGAGTCAAGAGGAAGCTCAACTTGCACTTTTGTAATAGTGCTGATCCCACCCATGAGGATGGAGCCCTCATGGTCTAATCTCCTCTTAAAGGTTCCACCTTTTAATATTGCTACAATGGCAGTTAGATTTCAACATGAGTTTTGGCAGGGACAAACACTCAAACCATATCAAACAAGGACCAACTATTAATCTTTAGCCGTAGTGTATGAAGAGTACCGATGTAGATAACATGGGGCTAAATAATAGAAATTTGATTGCATTTGCAGTACTAAAAATGAGACATTTTTGATATAGAGTCATTTCTTTTGAGTATTCGCCTTGTTTGTGCTAAGTTATATGAAGCAGTATAAAATGATCTGGAGCTGTCTTGTAAATATGACTGCTGTAGTCAGAGTTCATTTATAGGGCACGAGCTGTTTTGGTCTTGACTGTATACTTGGTTATTAAACTTCGTTGTTATGGGGAACTAAGCTTTTGCTGCTGTATCATTTCTTGATGTCAACTGTGATCTAATATATGTTTATATATTGATTTTCATTTTCATTATTAGAAAATACTGAACTGTGTTGCAAATCAAAAGCTGAAAATCTCCTGGCCTTTCATTTTAAAATGTATTTTGTAATTCCTAGGCAACAGCAATTTGATCCATATATATATTTGTAGTTTATTCCTTACTGCAAGGTAACTTAATATATGTTTTTAGATATTGTATTGTTAAATAAGCAGCATTTATACTAGGGAAGTGTTCTGTTTAGTGTACTTTTAAAATAGAAATTACTCATAGAGAATATTTTTGAAATATAGCCAATTTAAGACAGTTGAGTTAATAGAGAAGTTGAACAGAAAAAGACTATTATTGAGAATTTCTTCTGCATTCTCTGGTAAATTTAACTTGTGTGGAGCAGAAATGTTGGTTTATCTTTCATAGTCATCATCATTACAAAAAAGTAAAGGCTTTACGTTTCTAATAGGGAATTCAGTTTACTTACAACTCGTTTGAAATTAATTCATTAATATGTTTATTTTTTAAATCAAATTCCAGTACTTTTTAAAAATAACTGCTTAAGAAGTGAAATAATTAATGTACTGCCAAATTGCTATGTTTCTGCTTTGCACTTTTGGTCTCTTTTTTTTACCCTAACTGTAGCATTCAAGAAGGAAAAAGAATGAAATGATTAATAAAATATAGCGAATATAATGGATAACATGAATGATGTATGTTAAATGTGAGGATTAAGAGAACTTAGTCAAATTTACCAGTTTTTTTTTTTTTCATCCAGTAGTGCATTAAGATAAATACAAACAAATTTACCTCTGGAAAACCACTTGGATTTCATAGTAAATGCTGTTTTCCCCAAATTTCTATGGAGAAAAGTGTAAAATGTTGGATTAATGATATATATTGTGGGAATGATACTATATTTAGTAATTTTTATCTCATGTTTTACAGCTAAACATGAACTCTGCTCCTACATTCATGCATTTTCCTCCAAAAGGCAGACCTAAGAGAGCTGATACTTTTGACCTCCAAAGAATTGGATTTGCAGCTGAACAACTAGCAAAGTGGATTGCTGACAGAACAGATGTTCATGTATGTTTTTATTCTCTGCAGTTTTAATGATAGGCTGGTTAGTTTGGTTTTTTGGAGCATTTTAATAAGGCCACAGTATTTTTAAATTTCTCTATGGTTATTTCTCCTTGCATAGAGAAAACTATGTTCAATCACTGCAAATACATTGAACTTTGACTGTTAGGTAAATTCAGATGGTTTTTAAAATAATGGTTCATTGATATTTTAAAAGCCATTAAAAAGCACAAGATTTTAGCACAAGGTAACTTCAGAGGCTAAAAAATAATATTTCAATGGTTCATTGGTTGTAATCAAGGAAATTCTAATTAAAAAGCAAGATATATAATTTTTATCTATCTTTTGGGCAAACAGAAAAGGTTAATACCCACCTTAGAGCCATGTGGAAAAATGTCTACTCATATTTACTGCTTTTGGGTGTAACCATACTAATAGCATGTGCTATGTGTTTATGTAATTTAACTTAACAATTCCACTTCTAGGAATTTAATCTAAGGATGCAATCAAGGATGATTTAAATTTTTATCTGTAGAAATTTTGAAAATAATACTGGAAAAAATTGAATATAAATCAAATGTCTAAAAATAAGAGAATAATTAAATATACTATATCATAGCCAAAAAATGATTTGCAAGAATATTTTACCTAGAATGAAGCTCAAGGTATAAAAAGTTTAAAGTAGGTTAGAAAAATAGTATTAGTTGATAGTATGATCTATTAGTTTGTTATAAAGTGTAACTGTGAGTATAGATAGATATAAATAGTTTATTATGGGAAGAAGTGAACCAAAATGTTGATGGTAGTTAATACTTACTTGGGGATTTTATGGCCATTTTTTTTCTCTCTGCTCACAACTATTTTCAATAGTAAATAATTGGAATCAGTTATTAAAAAAAAAAAAAGTTCATGGTGGCAGTAATACAGAAGCATTAATTTTTACCATAAGATATAAACACATTTCTGAGTCAAGGTGGTAATCTTTCATATGGTACCACTGTCGTAAAGTTACATCATTGGTTTTAATGACATTTTGGTGACTAAACTTACTTCCTGATGCTTGGCATTTTTTAATGATTTGGCAAATATTTTGCTATGCAGTGCATCATTTAATTGGTGCTAGACATTTAAGAGTAATATTGAAAGTGTACTCTTTTTTTCCTTTTAAGAAATGTTAAATTTTAATCAGAAATTATTCTAACCTACCTCTTTAGCAAACTTATGCATTTAGTCAATAGATATACTTTGGAAAAAAAAAAACTATATGTGGATAGAATTTCTAAAATTTTTTTAGAAATGAAAATAATACAGTGCCAATGTATACCCTTTATTCAGGTTTAATTGTTAACATTTCACTCCATTTGCTTTGTGATTGTCATTCTCCCCGCTACACCCATGTCTCTTCACCTCTCTCCACACACACAGACACATACGCACAATTTTATTTTTCTGAAAAAAAAAATTGGGGCGAATTGCATATTGAAAGAAATAAGCAAAGCATAGTTATCAACTTCACAGATTTACATTTACATAATACTTTTATTAGAGCTACCACTAACCATATTACAATTTTGTCAAGTGACCTAATATCCTTTACATTTTCCACCTTTAGTACAAGATAGAGTTAGATATTTCATTTCATTGTCCTGTCTTTTAAGCTTCTTTTAATCTGGAATATTTCTATAACCTACCTTTTTTCTTTAAAAACATTGACACTTTGAACAATATAGTCCTTTGATGCATTATGATCTTTATTTGATCTGCCTCATGTTTGCTCATGGTTGACTTCTGCTTATGCATTCTTGAATATAATACTACATAGGCCATGTTCTATTTTAATCACCTCTATAGGCATGTAAAGTTCATCTGTCCTTCACTGGTGATACGAATTTCAAATATCTGATCAAGATGTTTACCATTTTTTCACTGTATAATTACTGTTATTTTTGTCCTCCTTCATAATTAATAAGCTGTCTATGTGGAGATACCTTAAGATTATGTAGATATCCTGTTCAAAAATTTTTTTTTAAGTTAGCATACATTGATGATTCTTGCCTGTCACGGGTTTTACCATTCTGATTACAAAATGATGTTTCCAGTAGTTGCTCTTTCTTCATATTTGTAGTTGGCCCTCGGCATTCTCCTGTAAGCAAGAGCCCCACTCTATTGATCCATCCATCATTCCATCCTTCAATCCATCCATCCATTCATCCATCCTTCAGTTATCTGTCATTGGTATGAACTTATGAATTGTGATTTGTATTATAAATAATTTTATATATTTTTATATTTGCTGTGTATTTTGGATTTTGACATTCTAAAAAAAAAATCTTTCTGGCTGGGGAGAGTATACCGCTCTTGGGGGTAGCCATTTCTTAAAGATAACAAGCCCTCAACCAGGAGCAAGTCTTTGATATGCAGCTAACCAGTCCATAGCCACACTCTCTCTCTCTCTTGTCCATACAAGAGAGAGGAGACAATATTCCTCTGCCTTAATCATCTCAGGACCAAGTACCAGACAGCTAGAGACCACTCCTGTAGTTCAAAGCCCACCAAAATTATTTAAACTAGTCAATCCTAAAGTGTTTACTCTGCCCTGCCTTGCCTTTCCTATGGAAATTCCTGATACCTTACACTAAAATGAACTCCAGATGGATTAAAGACTTAAACATAAGACCTAAAACTATAAAAACCCTAGAAGAAAACCTAGGCAAAACCATTCAGGACATAGGCATAGGCAAGGACTTCATGACTAAAACACCAAAAACATTGGCAACAAAAGCCAAAATAGACAAATGGGATCTATAAACTCCAGAGCTTCTGCACAGCAGAAAAAACAATCATTAAAGTGAACTGGCAGCCCACAGAATGGGAAAAAATTTTTGCCATCTACCCATCTGACAAAGGGCTAATACTCAGAATCTATAAAGAACTAAAACAGATTTACAAGAAAAAAACAGACCCATTCAAAAGTGGGCAAAGGACATGAACAGGGACTTTTCAAAAGAAGACATATATGAGGACAAGAAACATGAAAAAGTGCTCATCATCATTGGTCATTAGAGAAATGCAAATCAAAACCACATTGGATACCATCTCACACCAGTTATTTGCAATTAAATTTTTCTACAGATACTTATAGCTAGTGTGTCTATATACATACATATACATACATATATGTATATGTATGTATATGAGTATATATATGTATATGTATGTATATAGACACACTAGCTATAAGTATATCTATATATGGGACTCTTGCAACTTAAAAAGAGAAAACCCAATTAAAAATGGGCAAAGCATCTGAATGGGCATTTCTGCAAGGAAAATATAGAAATAGCCAATAAGCACATGAAAAGATGCTCAGCATTGTTAGTCATCAGGGAAGTGCAGAGTTGTTTTACCTAGTCATTATGTTTTAAGGCATGTATCTTTGACTCATAAAGAGAATGAAAATATTGTTAATGTCACATATGAAACATTGGGTGGCATGTTTCTGAGTTCTTTGTTGAAAATTAGGAGGACTAGAATATGATCAAGGCTAGAATTATGATCAAGAGAAAAATTTTGTTATTTTTCTTTCACTTTTAAAATTTCCATTGCATTTTTGCAGATTCGGGTTTTCAGACCACCAAACTACTCTGGTACCATTGCTTTGGCCCTGTTAGTGTCGCTTGTTGGAGGTTTGCTTTATTTGAGAAGGAACAACTTGGAGTTCATCTATAACAAGACTGGTTGGGCCATGGTGTCTCTGGTATGTTAATGCATTGTGCTTTTTTTTGTCCTATTCTTTGTATGATGGTATAAGTTGTATAGTATTAACACAGTGAGCCAGATTATAACTATAATAGACTATAATTCAAGTCTGAATGAGAAGTAACTGTTTAGAACTTGGATAATGTAGTTTAAGTTTTCTGTCAGTCAAAACTATGCTATCTTCTTTCTGCTTTTCACTACTAAATACAATGTTCCTCTGTACTTGGCACAAGTGCTAAATAAGTACATGTTGAATACCTCTAGAAATAATGTAAGTTTTGATCAGAATTAATAGCTCAGAGTAATTTGCAGGTGGTTTGGAAATTCAGCAATTTCTGAATTTCTCATTCAGCTATTTCTTTTCTGACAGCTGTTTCTTGTGTCTCTTCTATGTGACTGATATTTGTTAGATACTGGGGATATAAAGTTAAGAAATAGACTGCGTGTGAGAAATGCCTTGTGGGGATAGAGAGGAATCGACAAATGGAGTAAGTTTATTATGTGTTATGATGGTAGTAAGCAACAGAGGATTACAGGAATACATAGAAAGACACCTAACCTAGAGTAAAGGAAAGACAGGCTTCCCAGATTGTGACATGAGCTGAATTTTGTAGAACAAATGAAATTCCAAAGTCGGTAAGACCAAGTATTCAACATAAGTGAAGCCTGGGATATTCAGAGAACCATAGTTCTGTGTGACTGGAGGAATGATAGATGGCAAGGCAGAAGGGGTCAGAGATGACACTAGAGTTCAACAGTTTGCAACTCACAGCTAATAGCCAAAAATTATTAGGATTTTTATACACATAACAATTTAGGTATAATTGAAAATAAAATCTCCTTCACAGTAGGAAGGAAAAATATAAGGTACTTAAAAATAAATCTAGCAAAAATTGCATGCAGTATTTATAAATAGAAACTTGAAATTGAGAATAGATACATACACATATACGTATAGATATGTATTATGTCTGTAATATAATACAGAGTGAGACTCTGTCTCCAAAAAACAAAAAAATGTTATTAAAGATACAATGACTATGTATTATAACTACAATGTGTTATAACTATAATAACGTAATACATTGTTTACAGCTAATTGTCAGTTTGTTTCTTTTGCTTTCTTGCAATAGCCCTTCATCCTTTCCATCATGTTTTCACCAAAAAATTAGGGGTCTTGATGAGTAAGTTGGAAGTGATAGGACACACTGAGAAGTAGCCCAGGCAAGAGTCACCTTGAAGCAATTTCATTTTCTGCAACAATACCTTGAGCTTAGAAATTCAAATAGAACCTCTGTGGCTTTCTAGTAGATAGTCAAAATATAAATTAAATGTTTGGTCTTTTAAGAGCAAGGGAGATAAGATTTTTTAAAGAAAGTTTCTTAATGTTTTTTTTTTCACTTTTGATCAATAAGTTAAAGTGGATTAATTAATTATACCCTATTTAAAGTAATTGGACACTATGGGTGATCTTAATTACCTTAGTCATTAAGTTCAAAAGTGCTCTGGCTTTTTTCCATGCAAGTTTTCAAGTTGCTTCATTCAGTAAAGCTGCCCAGGTTTCTTGGTAAAAATGTGCTATTTTCAATGTGTCATTGCAAAATTAAAACTTCTCTGGTATTTAACAGTTAACATCTTGTCACTATTTTAGTCTATCAAAAATTAATGTCTCATTAATGAATTATACTCAAATAAAAATAACCTACATTATTCTTTTTCCTCAAAAAGAGCTCCAGAATTACTGCATTGTAAGCTAGTGATAATTGGCATTACTATTTACTGATCTCTTTCTTCTTTTGGGGTATGCTTCATAATTGTGTAGAGGAATTTATACTGTCCTCATATGATAAGCAAGGAAACAAAGATTCAGTAAGGTCAACTTGCAAAAGGTTACATACCTAGAAAGTGCCTGAATTGAGATTGGATCTCATTTGTCTGACTGCAAGTTGTGTATTGTTTACACAAAGCTGGGCTTCTTTAAATCTGGGCACATATCTTATATGTTGGATATTCAACCCAGTAGATACAATGAGCTATCATGACTGCAAATAAATTCATAGAACAACATTTCTATGATGTATAGATGCTAAATACTTCAGTTGATCAATTTTATTGAAAACCTCTGCTATGTTATACAGATTTATTATTATTATTATTATTGGCTGTTACTTTGAATCTTTGAAAGCGAATTAACCTGGCATGGCAGAAGATATTCTAAGGTATCTTGGCAGATATGCCTGCTCCCCTATCACAGCCTTTTAGAAGTCAGAAACAGGCTACAGAGAACAGACATATTTTCAAACAATGTGTTTTAAAAGACAATACTTTATAAATATTAATATAAATAAATAAAATATTAATCAACTTTTGTAATAGTTTTCAGCATCTCTTCCAGTTTTTCTTATTAATACAGATATACTTTTGTTTGGACTTTGGAAACTCTTTAAATCACTTAAACAATCAGATTAAATATATAATTTGAGTCTTCTTTACCATTGCCTTCCTGATATCACCCCTTGATTGTTGCTTATAAGTTGAAAGGCTGAATTTGTTCATATCAAATTTTTCTTATCCTATTATGAGATTTCCTTAGAAAGTCAAGAGAGTGTTCGAAATGCTGACCTATTTATTCAAATTCTCAAACATTTGTCTTATTTAAATTAATGAATAACTTATTTTTCTTTGAAAGTAAGGAAAACAATACTTATTTTTAAATTTGCCAAAATATTGTCCATCTGACTTATGCAAACTCTCATGAAAGCCGTTGATTGCACAGTGAAAGGAAAGCTCTTAAAATAAAATAGTAATGAACCATTTAAGAGTAGATAGCTTCCATAGCACAAAAAGAGTATGTACAAAGGGAGGAAAATGAATGAGAGAAATATCTGGTACAGAATCTCTAGCCCCATGCTGACTTTTTAGTAAAGAACAACTCTAGGTGCATTTAGCTGTTGTGTCTTTTTATCATTGAACCTATACAGAAGTACTTCCAAGGAGAATTATTTAGTGTTATGAACACTTCGTTCTGGGTAGACTGTATTCTAAGGCTGGTGTTTTTTTTCTTTTTTTTAACTGTAGTAATTTTATTGTATGTGACTTAAAGTTAGGGTAAGAATGAAGTGTATGCTGGGAGAGAGGAAGCTATCATATGCTGTAGGGTGTAGGATAGAGACAGGTTGCAATTTCTTGACACAGAGGAAGTAATACAAGCAAATATTAAAACATACATATATGTCAGAGCTTCCTGGTTCTGAGTTTTAAAAAAGAGCTAAAGGTATTCATAAGTAAATCTTCCTGGTCTTATGCTTCCTAATGGTGCAAAAATTTTTGTTAACTACTATTTCTAGATCCTGATGATTGTTCATAGAACAGAATATGTATCATTGATTGGTTCTGGTTTCACTTCCTTCTGCCTTCTCTCACCCCCTAAATATGGAGGATGGTGGACAATAAGCATATACATTACTTGCTTTATGATGAATTTAAAGTAGAATGATTGAGTAAAATATTGAAATTCACTAGTACCTAATTTCAGAGTGTAGCATAGATACATAGTTTATGGTCTTGAGAAAACAATATTGACTTTGAAACAAAATGAGTTAAAATAGTATGTTTTGTAGCCCATAATGAAGCTCTTCATAACAACCTATTCATAGGTAACTGTCATTTCAAGCCAGAAAATATTAGTAGTATGAGTAGCAACATTCATTTCAAACACAAAGGAAAATATCCTAAGGTTATGCACGTTAAAGCATGAAAGATAAGTATCATTAAAATCATCTAATAACCCAACCTTATAATCACAGTAAATCACAGTAGGATAGAAGTTGTTTTCTGCTTTTTAATACTATCTGTATTGTAGGATGACTCCTATACCCTCCTGTTTCTTTTGCCCCAAATTTCGTCATTTTAATTATTTAAATTCTTTGCAAATCTTCAAATTGGAAATTAGTATACATTACTATACAATATTCACATTCATGGAAGGTGCTTTGGCATGTACACATTGTGATTTATCCATAGAAATTTATTTCTTGTGACCAGAGCTACCGATGGCTCTGAGTTCAAATAGGGTAGAAAAGGGTCTTTTTCCTTTCAAATTTATTTGAATGAAATTATATAACTTTTGATATATACAAATAATCTTTATGTTGTTCTCTTTAAAAATGAAAAGGAAATAATTGCTGATAACATTTTTTCCAATGAAGTAACTTGTTTTTGGATGACCCCAGACAGTTTTGCTCATCAGGCAGCTATGCCATTTGGCCATTTGAAGTTAGGTATGGTTTTTGCAAACAGGTATTTCTATGAGCAGCAATTTGTGTAAAGAGTTAGGAAAACAGAATTTTAAAATGAATTCCTAAGTTTTTAGAATATACTTAATATATCTAATTCTTAATTTTCTGTAGTAAGAGGAAGCAGTGCCCTCAATAACTCAAAGAACATTTTTAAACTATTCATATATGGATAGATTTTTGAATTTGAGTGTTGTTGGCTGAGTTTCTGCTTATCTTATTATAAAGTCACAATTAAATAAGCCTCACTGTGAAGTTTCCATACATGAATCTACTACACTTCATGCACGGCTAGTCTTCTTAATCCACCTCTATAGTTGTTTTAGATACTTGTTGAAATTGTTTTCCTCAATGCATATTTCCTTTCCATGGAATTGAAGACTTTGTCTTAGGAAGCTTTTTTGGTTGTTGTTGCTGAAATGACCATAAAGATACTTCTCATCTGTTTTCTTTCCTTTTTTTTTTTTTTTTAACAAATGCAGTATATGGATTGAATATAAATGGAAAAAATAATGATAGTATTTCTGTATAGCACTGAAACCAAGTTTTAAAAAATTGACCATAAATTATTGACTTGTGAATAGTAGAAGTGTATAGAGTGTAAATTCCCTGACATGCATGTCTGTTCTTACTCTGCCAATTTATACCACCTGTTTATTAAGTAATGTCATTAAATTACTTATAACGTAATAACATTTTAATA